CCACCCTTGCACAACGGGCGGCGCTTGGCAGCGGCACTTGGGCCAAACCCATTGCCAAAATGCGGGGCCGCGTCATGGCCCCCCAGCTGGCATTGCTGTCCCTGTCACGATCCGCCGCTGCGTGGAATGCGTACCTTGCCCCCCTCATCCCCTACCCTGCACGCTACATGGCCCCCGACGCACCCCGGGAGCGGACGCTGAAGTCCCAACTTAGAATTGCCCTCGGCCTATTGGCCGGCCCTTGGGCGCCCGACAACATCTTTACGGGCCTAGGCATTATTTACCAGGTTCCTGGCTGCCCACGCTGCCCCGCCGCCAACGCCCGCGCCGTCGCCGCCCGCGCCAGTGCCTTACGCGACGTCTGGGGACCGGCCCCCGCTCGGAGGAGGGCAGCCACACGGTGGAAGAAACTCTGCGACTGGGCCGCCCGTACCCCGCACAACGCCCCCAACCCACGCCCAGGGTCCAAGGCACTGACGCATCACAAGGCCGCGCTGCTCCTGCACCGCTCGAGGGACCCCCCAGGTCGGCTAGCGGGGAAGTACTTCGGCCGGGTCGTCTACGCCGCCGCCCGGGGCCAGATGCACGGAGGCGCCGTCGCCACTTGGATGCAAGCTGCCAGCGCCTGGCGGAGATGGGCCCCCAGCACAAACGAGGAGTGGAATCTACTACGCCACTGTACTTCCTTCACCGAGGCTTACCACATCCTACGCTTCCTTGCAAACGGGCTACCCGGGTCCGCCCGACGGAGAGCCACCGAAGAACGCCTGCCCCACGCGCGTCACAGGTGCGGCGGGGCCGCCCAGAGGGTGCGGTATACCCGGGGCCCCACTGCTGCCGGACACGCTTGGCGTTCCCATTGCCTCGGCCCTTGGGACCAGGCACTCGCCTTTTGGCCCGCCATGGACGCCGCCCTTCTCCCCCCTACTCTCCGCCAGACTGCCCAGCTCACCGGGGGTGCACGCCCCCTCCTTGCCACACCTACCTCGGGCGGGGCCTACGGCGCGTGCCCGCTCTGCGGTCTGGGGGAGGCGACCACGGAGCACCTTTGGCCGCGGTGCCCGGCAGTCGCTCTCGCCTGGCACTCCTCCAAGGCCAACGAGTACCCCGCTGACATTGGCACAGCCATACTCACGGGCGGCGCCCACCAAGGACTCGCGGCCCGCATCACCCACCAAGCCTCCTACCAGTATTGCGTCGGCTTGGACGACCCCCCCCCCCCTCGACCCCACCGAGGCCGCGCGGCTCATCGCACAGGGCCCTTCGATCACGGACTCCGACATGCAAAGCGACGAGGACGTGGACGAGGAGGCCCTGGCCCGGGAGCCCCATCGCCACCGCGAGACGGCTGTCTGGACCCCCCGCTTTCCTGCTGCATGGAGTGCAATCCCTTCCCGCTCACGGCTGGCGCGGCACACGGCGCCGCGAGGCCCCACCAAACGCGCGCCGTTGACCGAGCTGGCGGAGACGCCAGGCGGCTGCCCGTCGCCGGCAGAGTCTCTCCCGCTGGCACCCGCCTTGCAGCCCTGCAGGCTGCCGACCCGAGAGCAGACTGGCTCCTCCCAGGACACGGGTGGTTCCCCTGCCCTCGCGCCTCGCGTCAGCCCTCTGCCCAATGGGTACTGAGGTACTGCGCCACCTGCAACACCCACACCCTCCCCCAAACGGCCGCTCACGACTTTTCGCAGGGAGACGAAATCACGGTGGATCGTGCCTCCTTCCCCTCCTCAGACGCCGCCTGCTGGCCATACGAGATCACCTTCAACGGGAGCGCCAGATCGATCGACGGTGACCACAGGATCTCTGGCGCCGGGGCTCTACTATGGCACCACGACCCCCACCACGCTGCCCCCTGGCTGGTGGCTGCCACCGTCGTGGCCCTGCTGGGCTGTGGTGACGCCCAGACCGCAGAGGCCTCTGGCTGCAGGGCCGGCCTGGCTCTGCTCCCCCACGCTCCCGGCCCGATCCGTTCCGACCGCGTAGTTGGCGACAACCTCGCAGCCATCCGATACGGCGCTGGCACGGGCAGGTATCAACGGCCCCACCTCAGCCAGCAAATGGACATGGCCCTTCGCCAAGCCAGCGACGCCTGCTGGACACTTACCTGGCAGGCCGTGCGCAGACGGTTCAACCAGGCAGCCGACCGCATCGCGACTTTCGGGGTGCACTGGGCTGCGGCCCTCAGGAGGGATGAAAACACCCGCCTTGCTTGCCATACTGTCTGGCTCAACCTCCCCTCCCCCGTCCCCGCCCCTCTTCCCTGCCCCTGCCGACCTCCTGGATACCAACGCCGTAGCCCAGGCTGTCGAGCGATTGGAAGGCTCGCGCTCGTCCCCAACCCCCCACCCCGGGCGACCCGCGATACTGAGGCCCCCGACCTGGCGTTCTGGCTCCCCCGGCATGGGCAAGAACAACCAGGAGCCCATCTCTCGCTGGCCAAGCTGCTACAACTGCGAGTCTGGGCCGCCCCTGACCCCGGGCTCCAGCAACATTCATTTCTTTCAGGCCCGCCTTTGCCCGCGGGTGCGGTGGGTCTACTTCAACGGACACTGGTGCTTCTATTGCGAACCATGCCAGCGGGAGGTTCACGACAAGGACCACTTCGTCAGCCCCGACCACCTCTTTGAGCTCGAGCGCCACTGGGGCGAGGGATGGCCCGACCCCAAGGCCTACACAAGCAGTGGCAACCTCTGGACCCGCCTGGAGGGCAGGCAATACGACAAGGTCTCGGGACAGCGCGTCGAGCGCCTGCACTGGTCTGGCTGGAAGCTCATTGACGTCGCGACTGTGGAAGGCACTCGGCAGCTCAGGGGCGCGCGTTTCCCCGACGACTGCGCCCACATCCCTAATTGCTACCCGCTGCCGAGGATGGCCTGGAAGTACGCGTGCCCCCCGGCGCCGTGGTCGACCCCGCCGCGACCCTGGACCCCAGGTTCGCACCCCCCGTCCCGGGCGACAGTGACCCCGAACCGTCAGAGGACGTCCGTGCCATGGCGGTCGATGCGACCGCAGTGCTCTATTCAAAACGAGAACCCAACGCAGGAGGGTTGGGAATAAATTGTGAGGACGTGTCAGGCGGGAATCGTTGTTGTTGTTATTGATGATGTTGTCGTTCGGGTGCCAGAGGGCCAGGCTGGGCCCTAGGAGGGGCAACTCGTTAGAAAAATCACTAAGGGCACCGGAAGGGGGATCAACCAAAAGTATGTTTTTGAAATGAGTATTCTATGTGTGTACATGTGATCGTTCTTATCCGCTCGCGTACCACTCAACTTGCATATTACAAACCCTTGATACCCTCGTTCTCCCTCTTCGATCGTACCCCCCCTGGGGTATTTCTTCCTGGCCTCCCACGCGTACTTGGCGTAGCCCATAAAACAGGAGAAGGCACGGAAGAGGAAAGAGACATGTGGGAAGGAGAAGCATGGAAGGCGAGAGAGATAAGCAAGGGGGATAGGAGCAGGGAAACACGCGGCACAACCAGACAGGCGGATTGGGCGGGCGGACCCGAATGGGCGGGTCGGACAGGCGGGCCCAGACGGCCAGGTCGAGCGGGCGGTCGTTGAAGCGCCAGTCCTACATGAATCGCGAGGAAGTCTTTAGCGATAGCGCGATTCCTGCATGAATTGCAAGGCAGTCCCGCGCCAGAGCGCGATCATGAATGCACTGTAAGGAAGAATCAGGCGGGAGCCGTTATTTTGATAGCTCGAGCGCAAGAGCACCGCGGGGGGGGGAACAACCATAGTTATTATTCAGATCTGAGAATTCAGTAACGAGGACGGAGACGGGGCCGCAGCGAGGACGAGGGCGTCAACGGGGACGAGGCGGCAGTGGCGCCGAATGGCGGGTCCCCTGGAGAAACCCCGGGGCCTCTGGCGGAGGCCTCCTCTGTGGGGGCCCAGCAGCGGTCAGAGACGACGGGTCGGACGATAGGCGGGGTTGGATCGGATCCACTCGGCAGGAGGAAGCGTCAAGCCCCGCTGCGCCGTCTGGGGCCCACCCCTTGTCGGGGAGGCCATCATCTTGGAGCTAAAAGCTCAAAAACAGTGATGGCAGTATTTGTATCCCGGCCTGCCTGGCGGACAAAAACCGCCCAGGCCTCAACCATCCACCCTGGGCTGGGTTGGGGGAGGACGGGGGGGTCAGGGAAAGGGGGAACGAACAGGGGGCTGGCGGGTCTAGGGTCAGGGGTTTAACGATCGGGGGGATTGGGGGGAACTTACGGGTCGGCTGATCGGGGGTGAGGGACAGAGAGGGCGGTAGGGAATTGGAGTGGGATGGGGGGGGGCGGGCGAAAATTGTTGCATGCAGTTGGTTTCGATCCCGCCGCTTGGCACTCCCCTCAACACGTTGAAGCCTCCAGCGCTGGGAGGCGCCGGCAAAAACCTGTTGCCTGAGCTGATTCGCCAACCACCCCATTTGTTATCCCCCCGTTCTGTCCGACCCGAGACGGCCAGAAGCCTCGAACCTCGAACCTGCGAGGCAGCAGGGGAGGTGGCCCACAGACCTCTCCTGGGGTGCGTATTTGCCAGAGCTTCGAGACGAGACCAGCGGCGGCAACGAGGGCACCTCGGCTGGACAGGTGAAAGCTAAAGCGTTCGAGGCTCGTCCTCACGATCCCCCTTCCCCTCCTCATCCCCCTCCTGCTCTTCCTCCTCCCCATCACCTCTCCTCCTCCTCCTCCTCCTCGTCCTCCTCATCCTCTTCCTCCTCCTTATGATCATCATCATCATCATCATCATCAGCAGCAGCAGCAGCAGCAGTATCATCATCAGCAGCATGTTCATCATCAGTAGCAGTAGCATCAGCATCAGCATCAGCATCAGCATCAGCATCAGCATCAGCATCAGCATCAGCATCAGCATCAGCAGCATCATCATCATCATCATCATCATCATCATCATCATCATCCCTTCTCCTCTTCCCTCCCCCATCCACCTCTCCTCCTCCTCCCCCTCCCCGGCCCTCATCGATCCCCGATTCAACGAATCTTCCCCTCGCAGGGCGCTGGCTTCGACTACGCGCGCAACGAGTACGTGCAGCGGGAGCCTGCCCCGGCGGCCACCGCCGCCGCCGAGCCGGCGGCCGCGGAGCCGCCCCCGGCCGCGGAGGCCTTTTGCGACGGTGACGGCGACGGCGACAGCGACGGCGACGACCACGACGGCGGCGGCAGCGGCGACGACGGCGGCGGCAGTGGCGGCGGCGACTGCGACGACGACGACAACGACGACGACGGACGACGACGACGACGACGACGATGGGCGCGGCGGCGGAGGTGACTGCGACGTCTTCGGACAGCACCCCTCCTGGCGGAAGGAGGAGGAGGATGAGGAGGAGGAGGAGGAGGACGACGACGACGACGACGACTACGACGACGGCGACGACGACTACGACGACGACGACGACGACGACGATTGGCGCGGCGGCAGAGGTGACTGCGACGTCGTCGGACAGCACCCCTCCTGGCGGAAGGAGGAGGAGGAGGACGACGACGACGACGACGAAGAACAGCAGCAGCAGCGAGAGAGAAGGAGGATGAGAGATGAGAGAGACATATGTTAGCCAGCGTTGGCCACAAATTGAGTGTTCCTTGTACTACATGTGGAGCAAGCTAGGTGGTGCACTCTATGTGGTGGAATGTACGGTGTGCCCTCTAAATTGTGCAGTATATGTTGTGCAACGCATGTTGTGCAATAGATGGTGTGCAACATATGTGGAGAAACCTATGTGGTGCACCTTATTTGATGCAATCTACATTACGCAATATGTGATGTTCAACCTATGGTGGGCAATACATGCTGTGCAATATGGTGTGCAATCTATGTGGTGCGATCTATAGTGCAAGATATGTGGTGCAATATATGTGGAGCACTCTATGTGGTGCATTCTATGTGTTGTAGTCCACTTTGACTGTCTTGAAGCTGTCCTCTCCACTGCTCGCGCAAACATCCCACCCACCCACCCGCAACTTGGTTTGCAAAACCCTTTAAGACCGACTACGACGACACCGACGACAACGACGACGACGACACCGACGACGTCTCCGACGACTTCGACGACGACACCGACGCCGACGACGACGAAGACGACGACGACGACGACGCCAACGAAGGCGACGACGAGGGAGGAGGAAGGACGACGACGGCGACAACGACGACAACGACGACAACGACGAGGGAGGAGGGAGGACGGCGACGACGCGAGCGACGACGAAGGAGGAAGGACGGCGACGCCGACGACGACAACGACGAGGGAGGAGGGAAGACGACGACGACAAGGACGACGACGACGGCGACGAAATAGGAGGGACGACGACGAGACGCCGACGACGGACGACGACGACGACGTGGGAGGAGGAGGAAGGACGACCACGGCGACAACGACGACGGAAACGACCACGACGCCAACGAGGACGACGACGACGAACACGAGAAAAGACAGAGGACGACGTAGGCGACGACCACGACGACGACGCGGGAGGAGGGAGGACGGCGATGACGACGACGACGACGACGACGCAAGAGCGCGCGCGCGCGCACGCTTTTGTTGAAAACCCGTGTTGCGAAACCTTGGGTTTTTGTATGTTTTTTGGACGCACGATTTTGACATCCTTCCGAAACCGATGGGTTTTGAAGGTTTTCGGCATACGCCCGCGACGACGCGCGCGTCTGCACTTCGTCCCGTTTTTTGCGGAGGATTCTCGCGACGGCACACGCGCAAGGGCGTTCGACAGATTTCGACATGCGCGCGCGAAGCCCGTTTGGTAGCATTTTGTGAAAATCTTGCAAAACCTATGGTTTTCTTAAGATTTCGCAAGAGCTCGCGCAGAAACTTTTTTAGCAAATCAGTGCTGCGAAACCATGTGTTTTTGTATGTGTTTTACTCGATTGCGAAATCCTTCCGGCACCGAAGGTTTTTGAAGGATTTCGGCGTGCGCGCGCGACGACGCGCGCGTGTGCACTTCGTCCCATTTGTTGCAAGGGATTCGTGAAAAAGTGCCATGTTAAAACAAAAAATGTCACCGCATTGTGTTTTTTACAAGGGAACCTCAGGGGGGGATACCGGTTTGGCTGGGATGATATGATTCCATATTCAGGATGGACGAGTGTGCAGAATCTATATTTATACATATATATATATATATACATATATGTGTATATATATGAAATTAAATTATCCCTGGGGGAAGCGTTAAGTCCGGGGGGGGTAGAGTCTATTCTTTTTTGTTTTGCCAGGAGAATCAATCACTTGCTCAACTTGAAGCTGTCCTCTCCACTGCTCGCGCAAACATCCCACCCTCCCATCCGCAACTTGGTTTGCAAAACCTCTTAAGACCGACTGCGACGACACCGACGACAACGACGACGACGACACCGACGACGTCTCCGACGACCTCGACGACGACAACGACGCCGACGACGACGCAGACGACGACGACGACGCCAACGAAGGCGACGACGAGGGAGGAGGAAGGACGACGACGGCGACAACGACGACAACGACGACAACGACGAGGGAGGAGGGAGGACGGCGACGACGCGAACGACGACGAAGGAGGAAGGACGGCGACGCCGACGACGACAACGACGAGGGAGGAGGGAAGACGACGACGACAACGACGACGACGACGGTGACGAAATAGAACCGACGACGAGACGCCGACGACGGACGACGACGACGACGTGGGAGGAGGAGGACGGACGACCACGGCGACAACGACGACGGAAACGACCACGACGCCAACGAGGACGACGACAACGAACACGAGAAAAGACAGAGGACGGACGACGTAGGCAACGACCACGACGACGACGCGGGAGGAGGGAGGACGGCGACGACGACGACGACAACGCAAGGGCGCGCGCGCGCACGCTTCTGTTGAAAATCCGTGTTGCGAAACCTTAGGTTTTTGTATGTTTTTTGGACGCACGATTTTGACATCCTTCCGAAACCGATGGGTTTTGAAGGTTTTCGGCATACGCCCGCGACGACGCGCGCGTCTGCACTTCGTCCCAGTTTTTTGCAGAGGATTCTCGCGACGGCACACGCGCAAGGGCGTTCGACAGATTTCGACATGCTCGCGCGAAGCCCGTTTGGTAGCATTTTGTGAAAATCTTGAAAACTTATAGTTGTCTTAAGATTTCGCAAGAGCTCACGCGGAAACTGTTTTAGCAAATCAGTGTTGCGAAATCCTGTGTTGTTGTATGTTTTTTGGAAACTCGATTGCGAAATCCTTCCGGCACCGAAGGTTTTTGAAGGATTTCGGCATGCGCGCGCGACGACGCGCGCGTGTGCATTTCGTCCCATTGTTTGCAAGGGATTAGTGAAAAAGTGCTATGTTAAAACAGAGAATGTCACCGCATAGTGTTTTTTTACAAAGGGAACCTCAGGGGGGGGAACAGGTTTGGCTGGGATGATATGATTCCATGTTCAGGATGGACGAGTGGTCAGAATCAGATTTGATTTACATACCCGAAAGGGGAGCGGATAAGTCCGGGGGGGGTAGAGTCTATTCTCCGTTTAGAGAGGAGAATATATGTGTTACTATTGTTGTACACTATATATGGGTACTATCATATGTTGTACTCTGTAGTATTGTGCGCAGTGGTGCAGCGTTCGATGTTGTACACTATAGGCGTTTCTATGTGTGGTGTAATATATGTTGTGCAGTTAGTTTGGAGCCATGTCTTCGGTGCAATCTAGACGATACAATATTTGTAGTATAGCCAATGGTGTGCACTATCGGTTACGTGGTAGTTGTAGAGCCACTAGATGGTGCCACCTACATGGTGCAATAGACGTGGAGCAATCGATGTGGAGCCATCTATGCTATGCAATCTGTTGGAACAAAGGAAGCAACGCGCAACAAGGCCCAGACGACGGGCGGCGACGAGGCGGCAACGGGGCAGCGACGGCGGTCACATGGCAGCCAGACCAACAGACAGGCCCAGTCGACGAGTGGCGACGGGGCAGCGACGGGGCGGCGATGGCGGCCACATAGCCGCCAGACCGACAGACAGGCCCAGACGACAGGCGACGACGAGGCGGCGACGGGGCGGCAACGGCGGCTACATAGCCGCCAGACCGACAGACATGCCCACACGACGGGCCGCGACGAGGCGGCGACGGGGCGGCGACGGCGGCTACAGAACCGCCAGACCGACAGGCAGGCCCAATTCCGTAGAACCGAAGTAAGAAACCCTAAGTACAAGCAATGCTTGGGGAAATGATTGCTTTGTTTGTACACAGATATACGTATATACATATATCTCCGTTAGCGCTTCGCCCTTTGCCGCCAGCCCCTTCTCTATCACAGTGGGATATATCAGAGTCGCGTCGGTGCGTCTCGGCGTTGCCTTGGCGCACCTGGGGACATCATGCGAGGGCGGGCAGGAGTCATCAGCTCATATTGAGGCGTTGGCGTTATCGAAGACGCCTACGGCGAATCACTGCCGCCCCCCGCCTTCTAGAATCGCCCATGTGGCCGAGGGTTGTGGCAAAAGCTCTGCCAAGGTATCGGGCGATGTGTTCCCCCAACCGTTGTGGAAACCCTTCGGGGAACATTTGGGTGAGGACGGCGGGAAAGATCAAGAGGAGGCGGAGGAGGAGGTGGAGGAGGAGGAGGAGAAGGAGGAGGAGCAGGAGAAGGGGGCATCTTGGGAGCCTCTGGGGACACTTTTAGGGCCTCCTGGGAGCCTCTTGGACCTTTGGGGGCTTCTCAGTGGCCTCTTTGGCCGTCTTGGTGGGCTCATGGCCCGTCTGACGCCGTCGGAAGTCGTTTGGGGGGCCTCTCTGGGCCGACTTGGGGCCCTCCTGGAATGCTCCAGGACCGTTTTGGAGGCCATCTTGGGCATCGTAAAGGCCCTCTGGGCCGTCTTGGGGGCCTCTTGGGGCCGTCTTGGGGGCCTCTTGGGCCGTTCTGGGGCCATATTGGAGACCTCTTGGGCTATCTTTGGGGGCTCTTGGGCCGTCTCGGGCCGCTGGAAGGCCGACAAAAAGCACTCATAGGGAATCATTGATTTTGGCCTTTTCGGGACTTCCTGGAGGCCCTCTCGCAGGCCTCTTGGGCCGTCTTGGGCCATCTTAGGGCCATCTTCGGCCGTCTTGGTGG